CTAAATGACTGAGGTAAACAGGACCTGCTGAGCGAAGTGGTGAGTCATGTCTAGGTTGGAGCAGAGCTGGGTGGCTCAAGATTTCACCATACTATTCAGAACGGTGTGTGGTTTAGAACTTAGGAATTCTCTCTAGAGTCGTCGTCTTCCACTTACCTTTCGGACTGTGCTTGACCTTGGGTTGTTGAAAGCAAAGAAAGTGAAAGCATGGATTAGAGGGATTTGTATAGTAATCGGCAGTCATATTCTAGAAAAGGACTGGTTGAGAGATTGAAAGCAGACGTGAGGCCGGGAAACACACGGAGCAGGAGTCGGGTTTAGTTTTAGCCGTATCTGAGGTGCCTGGTCAAATAGATTATTAGAAACTGGGGTTCGAGACAAAGGTTTTACTGGAAACAGAAGTTTAAGTAGTTATCAGAAAGGTGGTTCCTTGGCCAGTTTTTACTCAACATTGCAAAATTCCTGATATAAATAAATTAAAAAGAGGAAAGATGTATTTTATTTCCAGTTTAGAGATTTTGGTCCATCGTCTTCCCTCTGTTGCTTCTAGAGCCTTTGTGGAACAAAACATCACAGAGATGGGAGCTGGTGGCAAGGCTTGTCTCACTCAGAAGTGGGGGAGAGAGAGAGAGAGAGAGAGAGAGAGAGAGAGAGAGAGAGAGGCTCCAAGTGACTGACTTCCTCCAGCGGGATCCACATGCCGAAAATCTCACAATCTCCCCAAATAGCCCCCCCCCAGCTGGAACGAGCCTTCAGTTGATGTGGTGGGAATACTTCATGCTCAAACCATAACAGGTTAACGTCACGAGACTGTGGCACCCTGACTAAGGAAATGAGAGAATAGAGCTGTGGGACCTTTTATGCTCGTGATTGATGAGATTAAGAACATTAGAGGCCTAGGGAGGGGAGGCGCTTTGGAGGGACGTGGTTAAGTGTCCTCCCGTCCCGCTGGTTTGACAAGCCAGGCAGATGGAGTTGAAAAGGGAGGATGACAAAAGGGTCCCAGAACAAGGTAGAAATGATTGCCATACACGAAATGAGCTGTCATAAACAGAGGCAGTAAAAACACCGTAGCACCCAGGCACACGCACCCTGTAGACTTGAACAAGGTGGAGACAGATGCAGACACTAGCGTGCTATGTGCTAGAGCCACGCTGCCTGTAAAAAAAAAAATAGCTGTGGCCGCACATGTCTGTTAAATTTTAAACATGACGTGCCTGGCTGTGGTAACTACTGTACAGCTCTGGGGTTTACCAAAATTGCTTAAAATCTTTCATCTAAATTATCGCTGTAGTAAGCTCGAAGAGCAGCGATGGCCGAAGGAAGGAGAAGGAAAGAATTAGAGCAGAAGCCTGCGAAACTCAAAGTGGGAAACCAGTAGCCGGGGACCCCAAAGCTGGCTCCTAACCCTAACCCTGAAGAGAAAGGGAGGACACAGATCACTAACAGGAGTGAGCAGGCCTGGCGGTCTGTGCTTGCAACCCCAGCGCTTAGAAGGTGGAAGCAGGAGGGTTGTGAATTTGAGGCCAGGCTAACCTGGGCAGATAGAGAGACGCTGTCTCACACGTGTATGTGAATGAAAGGCCGTCATTGCATTAGTGCTGGAAACAACCTCATTTGCCAACTCAGGAAAGAGCATCTACCAACCTGCAGCCGACACTGTACTTAGTCAGTGCTGAGACTTTCCCACGAGGTCAGATGCAGGACAGGCGTCTCTCACCACTGCTTTTCAGTGTGGTGGGAGTCCTTCCTAGCTGTGGTAGAACACAAAGATTATAGTGTTCAGGAGGGAAGACATGAAGGTTACATGATCCCCTCCGCAGAAACACTATCAACAGGCTGTCAGTAACCACCGCCGCCGGGCTGGGATGCGGCCTCAGAACAGGAGAGCCCAGGCCACTTGGGAGGCCACAGCAGAGGCACGGTATTGAAGAAAGGAGTGAGAAGATTTTTTTTTAGATTTGGTTTCTCTTCTGCCCTGGGAAAGATATAATCGAGTGAGTGAAAAGGCAAGTGGAAAGACAGACTAGAAGAACATGTGTATAAAAACCATGCCTGAGAGCCGGGCATTGGTGGCGCACACCTTTAATCCCAGCACTTGGGAGGCTGAGGCAGGCGGATCTCTGTGAGTTCAAGACCAGCCTGGTCTACAAGAACTAGTTCCAGGACAGCCTCCAAAGCCACAGAGAAACCCTGTCTTGAACCCCCCCCCCAAAAAAAAGCCAAGCCTGAGGAGGACTGTTACCTAAAATGTAAAAACTCTTAAAGCTGAACAAATAGAATTTAACCCAGTTTAAATGTGGGATGAAGACTTTGGTGACTGGTCTTGGCTGTTTTTTTTTTTTTCCCCCAGTTATTTATTTCGTGTGTATGTATGTGTGTGTACCTGGGGCACACCTGTGCAGGTCAGGACAAGAGTATAGGAAAACTCTCCAGCATACGCTACCAAGGGAATGCAACCTCAAGCAGTGCTTAAGTGCCGTTCTCCACCTAGTAAAACGCTTAAAACCCAGAGCACGAGTCGCATGGGAGGTTGTTGGCAAGAATGTACGTCAGCAGCCCAGCATCAGGGTGCTTGCTTGTGATCCCACCCCAGCCGGGGGCAAGAGTTCATGTCCAGCTTAAGCTGCGTGGTGAGGTTGACCTCAGAAGACCAACGTCTCTGAATGCAGCTTAGTGATTGAGTGTTTGACTGCCCAGCAAGGCCCTGCACCATGAAACAAAGTAGAGATTTTCCAGGGTCTTATTCATTACCAATGGGAAGGTAAAACAGTACAATCCACGCTGGAAAACAGTTTGATGGTTCTTACAGAAATGAATGTTTCTGCCACACAAGCCAGACGTTACATTCCTTGGTAGGAGTCAAAAACATGTCCACACAAAAACCCGCACGTAGGTATTCACAGCCCCTATGTTCAAACTAGAGCAGGTGTGGGATCAAGCAAGCTGTTCTTCAGTGAATGAATGGATTCTCTGACTGATACACCCGACCTTGTCCTATCACCCAGCACTGAAAACAAAGGAACCAGTAACCAGGTTAGACGATAGAAGATGCCGATGCCGAGCAAAAGCAGGGGGAGACTGCGCTGACCCTCAGAGGCCGGCCTTGAAGCTGACGGGAGGACCACGCTGACCCTCAGAGGCCGGCCTTGAAGCTGACTGATGGGAGGACCACGCTGACCCTCAGAGTCTGGCCTTGAAGCTGATGGGAGGACCACACTGACCCTCAGGGGCTGGCCTTGAAGCTGATGGGAGGACCACACTGACCCTCAGGGGCTGGCCTTGAAGCTGACAGGAGGACCACACTGACCCTCAGGGGCTGGCCTTGAAGCTGATGGGAGGACCGTGCTGACCCTCAGAGGCTGGCCTTGAAGCTGCTGATGGGAGGACCACACTGACCCTCAGAGGCCGGCCTTGAAGCTGACTGATGGGAGGACCGTGCTGACCCTCAGAGGCCAGCCTTGAAGCTGATGGGAGGACCGTGCTGACCCTCAGGGGCTGGCCTTGAAGCTGATGGGAGGACCACACTGACCCTCAGAGGCTGGCCTTGAAGCTGGCTGAAGAGACTTGGCAACAATTGTGCAGGCAGATGTCCCCGTTTGGAGGTGGTGGTGGGGTGTGGCTAAAGCAGAGACTGAAGGATGTAACAGAAATATCATGAAGTGGGGAGACGGGGGTGTTACAGTGTCGGAGGGGGTGTTACAGGGTCGGAGGTCCTTGTGGGTAGAATCCGGGTGGTGGGAGTTCAAGTCCAGGAAGGCAGCGAAGGTGGAGATGAGGCTTGGGGGCTCCACGTGTGTCTGTTTCTGCAGTGATGTCACACACCTAACGTCACCTGGTAAACAATAATTGAAAATGAGACTCAGCCCAGTGCAGATAGTAGAACGATGGCGTAGGGGGCCCTGTTTGCTGGGAGAGACCTTTACCAGCTGTCTCGGCCTGAGGCATGGCTTTAGTCTGTCTTTGTCTCTTCTTAAGCCTCTGTAGATGAAGATCAAAATGTCTCCGATTTCAGGTCATTTTCCAGGACCCAGAACTTGTGCATTCTGAGATATAATTTGTTCCGTGTCCTCAAAAATAAGCAGCGCATTGTAATATTTGAAGCCCATGAGGTCGTCATCTTTTGAAAGCCTTTTAAAGAACAATTTTCATGTCACAGTGATCTTTTCTGAACAGCGTGGTTCTCTCGAGTGCCAGAACAGAAGTTGAAAGTAGCAGTTGTTCCGACTTTCAAATAAAGGATTGTTAAGTGTTATAGTTTGTCATGCCCCTGATGACAGGTCCTACAGAACATTTTAAAAACGAGGACATTCACCGTGCTATTGGCACGCTCTTTAGTATTACGGTGCAAATGACTGAATATCGAGGACCTTCAGCTGGTGGTGTCTGGGTCTTCACTGGACAGCCCAGCGCGTCCAAGCAGGAGACCCTTCCTCAGCCCCAGACGCTTCCTGAGACACAGTGGGTCGGAGTACGGCTGTTGAGCTGAGACCGCAGCAGTCGTTCTCCCCAGTGTTGCCACAGTGACCCGTGAGCTTTATAAGCCTAGGAACTTTATAAGTTCCTAGGGTGGAGGCTGGAGAGACGGCTCAGTCTGCTCTTCGGGACGATCCCAGTTCAGCTCTCAGCACCGTGTCAGGTGGCCCTAAACTCCGGTTCCTGGGGATCCAGCACCATTGACCTTTGTACACATGCACACACTACCCCCACCATGTGAACATAATTCC